GAGGAGGGAGAGAGGGTGGTCAGAAGGAAGCACGGGGCAACAGCAGGGCGAGGAGTGATGAGTCGATTTTTAAGTCGACTTTGAAATCGACTCATCACACACGGGGCAACAGCAGGGCGAGGACGCTCACCTGCACAAGAGGAATGCCTGAGTCACCACGATGACCCCCACCACCCGCTGCAACTTCTGGAACAAAGCAGCTCCCGGGGCGAGAAGGGCGAGCAGCAGTGCGAGCAGCAGCTGCTGGCACAGGGCCTTGAGGGTGATGCCTGGCTGTTGATAACTCTAAGACATGTGGTGCCTTTCGCTCACCTGCAGAAGAGGAAAGCTTGCGCCACCACGATGACCCCCACCACTCGCTGCGACTTCTGGAACAGGGCAGCTCCCGGGGCGAGCAGGGCGAGAAGCAGCGCGAGCAGCAGCTGCTGGCACAGGGCCTTGAGGGTGATGCCTGGCTGTTGATAACTCTAAGACATGTGGTGCCTTTCGCTCACCTGCAGAAGAGGAAAGCTTGCGCCACCACGATGACCCCCACCACTCGCTGCGACTTCTGGAACAGGGCAGCTCCCGGGGCGAGCAGGGCGAGAAGCAGCGCGAGCAGCAGCTGCTGGCACAGGGCCTTGAGGGTCATGCCTGGCTGCGACGACTAGAATGAGGGCCAAGGGGACGGCTTGAGCTCACCTGCAGAAGAGGAATGCCTGAGCCACCACGATGACCCCCACGACCCGCTGGCTCTTTTGGAAGAGCGCGGCGCCTGGTACAAGGAGAGCGAGCAGCAGGGCGAGGAGCATCTCCTGGCAGAGGGCCTTGAGGGTCATGCCTGCGAAGACTATAGCGAGGGCGAAGTACTGGTCCATAACGAACCACGCTGCTGCCAGTAACGAGGCTGCTGCAAAGATGAAGTAGGAGGTGATGCTGCCCGTGGTGTAGTAATGGGCGAGGTACGCTGCTGCTATGGCTGGGGCGGGGAGCACCTGGGAGGGACGAAAGTAGAAAGAGAGTCAGAAGAGAGAGTGGCAGAACAGAGGGGGAGAGGGGAACAAGGGAGAGAAAGCGTGTGAGCGTGCTGCAAAGATGAAGTAGGAGGTGATGCTGCCCGTGGTGTAGTAATGGGCGAGGTACGCTGCTGCTATGGCTGGGGCGGGGAGCACCTGGGAGGGACGAAAGTAGAAAGAGAGTCAGAAGAGAGAGTGGCAGAACAGAGGGGGAGAGGGAAACAAGGGAGAGATAGCGTGTGAGTGTGCTGCAAAGATGAAGTAGGAGGTGATGCTGCCCGTGGTGTAGTAATGGGCGAGGTACGCTGCTGCTATGCCTGGGGCGGGGAGCACCTGGGATGGGAAGAATGGCAACGATAAAGGAGACCACTGCTTTCCTCTGGAGACCACTGCTTTCCTCTCTCCCACTCCCCAGTTCCCCCCCTCTCAAAGGGCTTACCATGTCCCTTCTCCCCCCCACTCAGAGCCTTACCGTGACAGGCATGCCAATGACCAGCTATCCCGCTACAGCAGACGGGCTTACAGTTTCCCCTCTCCCCTTCTATCCCTCTCCCCTTCTATCCCTCTCCCCTTCTATCCCTCTCCCCTTCTATCCCTCTCCCCCCCTCCCCCTCCCCCCCCACTCAGACACTTACCGTGACAGGCATGCCAATGACCAGCGATCCCGCCACTGCAGACACCAGCAGCACGGTGGTCACCACTGCGGACCCCACTGCACCCCTCAGCACGCCCATCATGTGCGCGGCGAAGCCGAATCCGAGGCCAAAGAGCGCGAGCGTGACGAGGAGGTAGTTGAGGGGCGGCGGGAAGTGGATGTAGTGGCCGTAGGAGGTGAAGATGACGCGAATCTCGAAGCAGATGAGCACGACCGCCAGGGAGAACCCCCCGTTGAGAATTTGCACCTGTTGGGAAGGGGGTAGGGGGGATTAGGGGAAGATGGGGAAGTAGGAGGAGGGCAATCGGCGGGAAGTGGATGTAGTGGCCGTAGGAGGTGAAGATGACGCGGATCTCGAAACAGATGAGCATGACCGCCAGGGAGAACCCCCCGTTGAGAATTTGCACCTGTCAGGGCGGGGGTTGGGGAGGGCCGGGATGCGGAGGTTGCGGAGGGTGGGGAGGGGGTTGGGGGACAGTGGGAAGTGGGAAGTGGACGGGGGGAAGTGGGAGGCGGGAAGTGAAATGGGGGGAATGGGCGAAGCGAAGAGGGAGGCAGACAGCAAGTGGAACGGGGGAAGTGGGTGGAAGTTTCTGAGGGGCGGAAAAACACCCTCTCTACACCTGAGGGGCAGAGGGAAGTGGATGTCGTGGGCGGAGAAGGTGAGCCACGTGTAGAGAGAATTCTCAAAAAGCATACACGTGTAGAGAGGGTGTGTTTGAGACGTCTCAAAAACACCTTCTCTACACCTGAGGGGCGGAGGGAAGTGGATGTCGTGGGCGAATAAGGTGAGGAAGAGCATCACCAGCATCAAAGGCCTCGTTATTAGGTGCTTCAATAACAATTCCATTTAGCCGATTGAGCTTGACCTTGTCACTGGTAAGCCAATTCAACGGGCCCCTCGTCGACGCGTACAGCACAAAGAGCACGGGTACGAAGAAGAGCAGAAGCGCACCACATCCCCGTTATCAGGTGTCCTTATATCGAATCCACTCACCCGTTTGAGCTTGGCCTTGTCAGTCGTGAGCCAATTGAGCGCGCCCTTCTTCGACGCGTACAGTACGAAGAGCACGGGCACGAAGAAGAGCAGCAGCGTGTCGCATGCTTCATTCGCCGACTCAAAGATCCTATTATGATGCACCGCCAGGTGGAACCCGCACGGCAGGAACAGCACGAGCATCATGTGAAACAGCCCCTCCATCGCCCCGATGATCCACACATCCTGGGAGGATTCTTTGCCTCCGTGCCTCGCCTGCTGCTGCTGCTGCTGTAGCGTGTGCTTGGAGGATTTGAAGGAGGAGGCGCGCGGGAGGGAGAAGAGCCAGTAGAGCGCGAACAGGCACGGCATGAGGTAGAACGGCGCGTGGGCCGCGCCGATGGCGGCGATGAGCCCGTAAGTGATTATAGCGATGGCTGTCATGGGCGTGCATGCGAACAGGAGTCGCTCTAACGCGAGGACTACAAACGGGTGCTCGAGCTGCAGCCAGCGGAATTGCAGCGAGACCCAGACGCCGCAGAGGAACACAAGGTGCATCGCCGTGAGGAGGATCAGCACGGAGATTATAACGGGGATGTGCGGCGCGAAGCCGAGGCCGGAGAACGCGAGCGCGGCTGCCGTGGTGAAGAAGGTGAACCAGATGGCGACAAAAGCGCCGTTTTTGAACTGGAGCGCGTCGAGGATGTAGGAGATCATGAGCCCCGCGACGAGTGTGCCTACAACGAGCGGCCCGCCGGCGCCTAGAAGCACGAGCACGCACGGCAGCAGCGCCGTGGCGACGCGCGCGTTGTACTGGAAGCCGTGAGATGCGGCGAACCGCGCGTCCCCGGAAGAGGGGGTGGCGGGCGCGGAACCGGAAGGCATGGGGATCGGCCGGCGCGGAAGTTGCCCCCCCATAGCGGGGGAAGTGTAGGGAGATGCATAGGGGGACGTGTACGGGGTGTGATACCCCGGTGACCCTTGCGCGTACATGATGGTAACGCCTTGCAAGGGTATGAGAGATTCTGAAGGAAATGAGATATTCTCAGAGTGACAGAATTTCTAAACGGCGAAGCACCTGGCCGAGATTATGACAAATGCTGCCGAACTAAGCGTGAATGTAACGAATCTATGTCAGATATAGACAGATGACGAGGCTGATGCGTCAGATACAGACGCACGATCTGGCTTATAAGACTCCTGAATCGTTCTTAATTGTCTGCATGGAAAAGGAAAAAGAAGCAAAATTCTAGTGTCTGTAGAGCACAAGAATCGATGCGTGGGAAAAATGCTAGGAATCGCATCGTCATCGCGCTAAAGCCGTCGATCGGACGCGGCTGCTGGCATTTCGATCATCATGGACCCAGGTGCTTCCCTCACAAGATCGAACTCGTCTGCTTCAAAGACTGTCACGAACCATCCCACACTACTAGTGCGATGACCGAAAGGAAACACAAGATCGAACCCGTCTGCAGTCTAGAACCTGCTACTAAGCACCACTAGTACGTTGCAGCAACGCTACGTTCTAGAATCTGACATCTGAGAATCCTGGTCAAATAGGAGAGACGCAGATCCCCTGCTCCTGATTTCCTGTTGGCCTTGAAATCATCCAATCCAACCTAGATTTCTCCCACGGCACAGACCGTGTACAAACGCGAAGAACCGAGTTATGCATGCAAGGTGGTGGGAGAGCCGAGCTCCAGATCCAGCACAGACCCGTTTCAAAGTAAACTGCGAGTCCTACGGCCTACGACACTTCGTTACCGAATCGGACGGTGAATATCACTGCCTTGTTGTGTTCTAAACTACGGTAAGGTGCGATTACAGATAACCACTTTCAAGGCTGCAGAGCAAAACAAATGCACTACTACAAAAATCATGGACCCTCAAGACAAGCCTGATAGGGTTTCCACAATTCCATGTCAACAACTGATGTCGGCAAAAGCCATACGCCATACATTGCTTGCCTCCACCCAGCCCCCATAAAGAAGCGCCAGGGAGGATCTCGTTTCAAAGAGGTCTCCACTGTAGCCTTAGCAAAATCATCTGCACTTGTCCCTATAAAGTTGGTCAAAGCCCACTCGGCGAGGTGGTTGAGCCTACTCTCGCACGACTTGTACAAACTGTTGGATGGCAATGGTTTCCTGTTGTGCTGCTCATTGCTGGGGTGAGTAGAGAGCAGGGCATGTGGGACATACGGTACGGCAAAAAAATGCAAGGGAAGAGTGCATGAGAAGGTTTATTTCGTGGTGACACAAGTTCCCATGCCATTGCTGATGCAACTAAGAGAACTTCACTGTCGCGAAAAAAAAAAGTACACCACACTGATATACCCCATCCATCCAAAGTTCATGACCTGCCCTCCCCGCATGCATCACCTGTGTATGTTGGTGTTGATGAATCCAGGAACTGCCAGCATGACTCGCACTCCGAAGGGCTTCATCTCCATGCGCATGCAGTTGGTCACCGCATTCAACGCCGCCTTGGACGCCGAATAGGCTGCTGCCATGGGCCTGAGATGGAGCATGTGGGAGGGGCGGGGAGGGGGGCGAGAAAACAGCTTCATATCCATGCGCATGCAGTTGGTCACCGCATTCAACGCCGCCTTGGACGCTGAATAGGCTGCTGCCATGGGACTGTGGCAAGCGCGGGAACCGGTGGGAGGGGAGGGAGCGGAGGAGGGGAGGGAGGGAGGAGGGGAGGGAGCGGAGGAGGGGAGGGAGTGGAGGAGGGGAGGAAGGTACGACAGGAAAAGTAAGAGTGTGGGGACGGTGGAGAACTATAGAACACTGTGGCATCTCACAGTTTCTAACCAATGCAGTGCAAGGCATGGCATGAAACCCCACTTTTTGTCCTCGCAAACAGATGGGGGCACTTAAACTATCATCGGCCTAGTCCATCATCTCCAAAACCAGACTCACAGGTGGCAGAAACCTGCGCAGCTGGAGACGTTTATAACGAGTCCCTGCTTCCTCTTGGCCATGTGCGGGAACACAGCCTGGGCCATCGCAACGACGCCGAGCAGGTTCGTCTCGAACAGCACGCGCCAATCGGAGAGCGGCGTGTCCGCCAGGGGGCGTGTGGCGAAGACAGCAGCATTGTTGACGAGCACGTCTATTCGCCCAGCCTCCTTCATGACTGTCTCAACTGCATGCTGTCAGGGGTCGGGATAGAGCAGAGAGAACAGATCCGTTTTCAAAGTGACTTTTTAGTCCGACTTCAAAAGAAATTCGCCCAGCTTCCTTTGCCTCAACCCCTCGCTGTCAGAAGTTGGGATAGCGCAGAGAAAGTGGAAGTTTTTTAGTCAGACTCAATAATAATATTTTTGCCCAGCTTCCATCATCGTTGTCTCAACGGCATGACCGTTACTGTGCTTTGTCTCCTGAATATCAGGCAGAATAAATGATTAAAAATAACCATCTGGCGCCCACAACGATGCTCTGGTTACCTGAATATCTTCCGCGTTTGTCACATCCAGCTTCAATACAGTCACTCCCTGCTCCTGCAACCCACGCATGGCCTCCAATCGGCGCGCAGTGGCGTACACCGTGGCCCCTCGGCGGGCGTACTCCCTGCGATTCATCACACCATTCAACAACCACGCATGGCTTTCATCAGACCTCACCGTTTCTGGCAATTGCCACAAATGTATGAATTACTATTACGAATTCGAACCAGGACAAATCAATGAGGCGCCTAAAAGAATCGTCGCGCACACCTACAGTACCGTGACGAGCCAACACCCCGCGCACGCTGGTTCAATTCACTGAATGGGTAATCAAAACCAGCTCCGGATTGATGCTTCAAAACCACAACTCGTGGATTGGCAACGGTGGCGACAAAAAAAAAATTAACGCTTTAATTTCTGCCTTATTTTTCGCCGCGAGGACGTTGAAACGCGTCTTTGAGGCACAAATTACGGAAGCAGTTCCGAAACGCTGAGTGAAGGCTTACACTGCCAATGCGTAACCGATTCCGCCCTCGGAACACCCCGTTATAAGCACGACTTTCCCATCGGCTCTGATCGGCCGAGGCCGACCAAGAATCGCGCCCATGGCAGAGACTCAGCAGTCCGCTGAGCCGGCTGACACGACCGAGAATAAAGCCAGAGGAGTGGGGTTGGGTCGCAATGACTTTTTGAGAAAAAAGAAACTAACAACCACCATTGTCGTTCGCATCGCATCCTTCTGTGGGGTCTATGCCACAGATTGACTGGCGATTGTGGAAGGGGAAGTAAACAGAACCTCGGATCTCATCACGAAAGAACACTACAGCTGATGCTCACCCCATGCACGCGAAATTGCCATGCACTGGATGGAAACGCTGCCCCCGAGCATGAAACCCCCGCTTGCTGCTCCCACAGTACAAGCACCCGGGGTGGCAGGAAACAGTGCGCGCGACTCGGACAGTTTATCACGTGCAGTTCCGAACAACCAACGCCAACCCTGCTGAGCCCCGTTTCCAGGCCAGGAGCCTGCACTGCGAAAGTGAGTGGACGAAACGAACGAGGCCTCGTGAACGCAATCGCCAATCCACCCCGCCACCTAGGCACGGATCATTGTGCGTGTAACAGACATCGTGGGCAAATTCACGATCCCACGTGTAATCTGCCTGTGCGGGGTACAAGCGTTATTGTAGCCAGGCATTGTTCTCATACACCACGTCAGACAATTGAACGTAAGGTTACCAACCCCCAACGTCAAATGTGCAAGCCAGGTGCATGGAACGAACTCCAACCACACGTACAGTTCCAAGCCCCAAAGAACAGACCCCAACCTTGTCCCAGGTGAATTCGAAGTGAGGATAAAATGTTAACAACAATTTCACTAAGACAGTTAGTTCACTCACCTCATCCTGACACAATGCCGCGATTTAATCGACGGGAACAGCTGCCGCTCCACATCAAGCGCGCCATTTGCGCGCACCACCTCGAACACCCCGTCCTGCGCCATGTCGACCTAGCTCGATGGTGTTTCTCCCAGTACGGGTTGCGCCCGGATTGCTCTACGATCGGCCGCATCCTAAAAACCGCCGAGCGATGGGATGTGACGTCCGACGGCGCCAACCCGGTGCGCCGTCGGGCAGGCGCCTGGCCAGAGCTGGAGCAGGCCATGGGGCGGTGGATAGCAAACGCAGGACCCGCCGGTGTGCCCCTCACACTCCAAACCATCCGCGACCATGTCGCGGCGATGGCCAGGAACATGGGCATTCCGCCCACCTTCCGATGCTCGATCGGCTGGGTGCGCCGTGCATTGCGGCGCCAGGGCGTGAGATGCCGTGCGGCACAGGGCGAGGCCGCCAGCGCAGATATGGCGGCCGTGCGCGACGCCCGTGAGAAGATGCCGCGACTCCTCACGCAGCTCGGCGTCGCCCCGCGGGACACCTTCAACCTCGACGAGACTGCTCTCTGGCTGTCGGTGCTTCCGCGGCGCACGTACAGCAGCGGCCGCATACCAGGCCGCAAGGTCTCGAAGGAGCGATTGACCGTCGCATTCCTCGTGAATGCGGACGGTAGCCATGCATTCCGGCCGCTTGTGATAAGCAAGGCGAAGAGGCCGCATGACTTCCGGCCCGACTATGACCCTGAGGCGCTATGCTACTGGCGCCATAACGCCAAAGGCTGGATGACCTCGCCTGTAAGCATATTTGCGTGGAATGTGCACCTTTTTGACTCTCATTGCCATTGTTCGCAATTTTGTCATGTGTTTGTTCTCACGATGATGCCGACCGTGTCCCATTTTTCCATGCCATCCCGTCCAACAGTTATTCACGCATTTCATTACTCATCTCAACGCGGCGATGTTTGCCGAGGGTCGCAAAATAGTGGTGCTGCTGGACAACGCGAGCAGCCACATGCTGCGCGCCGTAGATGCATGGAGCGAGATCGTGTGCGGCGTCAGGACCACGTGCATGAGCCACGTGCGGCTTGTCTTCCTGCCGCCCAATACCACGGCATTCACTCAGCCGCTTGACCAGGGCATAATCGCCACCGCGAAGGCCCGCTACCGCCAGCATTGGCTGCGGGCCTTCTCGGGTTTATGGAACGCCGACGGAGCGACTTCCGCGGTCGCTCGATTCCGGCCGAATCTGCGAGATGTGCTCGAGTGGCTGTCGGAGTCGTGGACCTCCGTCGGCGCGCGCACCATTCAACGATGTTGGTGGCGCACGGGGTGTCTTCCCCTCTCGTGGTCACTGGAGCTGCCGCACGTGCATGACGACGAGCCCATCCCCGCAGCTTATCCCGACATCGAACTCGACGATGACATCGATGATGTCGGGACGCTTATTAACACGCTCGACCTCGGGAATGCGGCAATGACGGCGGCGGAATACGTCGCCATCGACGACGCGGAGCCCACGTGTGCGGAAGGCACGGCACACCCGCCCGTGACAGAGGAGGAGATGCGCTCGGAGGTGGAGCTCTGGCAGGCGCCGACGACCATGCAGGCCGTTTACGACGACGCCGACCCCGTGTGCCGTGAAGCGCGCCGCACTGCTCGTGCGGCGTGCGAGATGCTCATCGGCTACGCCCGGGCCACCCGCATCACTCCGCGCGATCTGTGCGCTCTTTTCGACATCCGCAATCCAATCATAATCGCGCGGATGGAGCGGGCGAGCCCGGGATTCAATCTCAACGTGGCGCCGCAGCCCGTACCCTCCCCCGGCGCAACCCCCACTCCCGAGACACCTCGTCCGCGAGGCCGTGTGCTGCCCGACTGGATGACCCGCCAGTCCCGCCGTCAGCAGCTGCTTGATGCCGGGGTGGGCGCCGTGATGGACGGCTATGTGGATGCAGCGGAATGGATGCGTCTGTGAGAGGGGGTGGAGCAGCCAGAGCAAAGTGTCGAGTGAATTTTGCAGGGCCCCAGTGATAAAACATTGTGCCCATTTCAGTGTGTTTCGTTTAGTGTGTTGTGTTGCTATGGGGGGCCAGGTGGGAGTTGTTGATTGGATGTCTATGTTGTGTGTTAGTTGTTTCTCACCTCGAGGAACAATTGATGTGCACGCCTGATTCATTACTGTAGGGGTCGTGTAGTAACATTGAACACACGAGAGAGACAAGCATGGCAACCCCCCCCTGTTACAAAACAAACAAAAGGTGAGGTAACCATATGCGGGTTAGAGGCACGGGATACGCGTGACGAAACGAACGAACCTCTGGCGAAATGATGTTTAGCTTATAGTCCCAGAGCACAAGGCAACCGGGAGGGGCTCTAACGAGCATCAGGTGTACAAGGCGCTTCCAGAGGATTCCAGCTGCCGCTCATCTTGGCAGCGCGATGAGATGATCTATTGTGAATCTCCACCTACTCTAGTTATTTATTGTCAATGCTGCTGCAGATTCTACTCAAATCTGCACAGCTGTATTCACTGCTTATACAGCTGTATAAGCAATCTGCGCTTCCCCTGCGCTTTAAACAGATTTACTGTACACAGTTTGTAACCGTCCTCTCAGATTTCGCAGGACCGAAGCGAACCCAAACGAAACATTCAAGAAAACAAGCACCGTTCTGGCACGCTAAAAAACACACCCCACCGCATCAGAAAGCTCTCGTCTACTGTCTGCGAATAGAAACTCTCGAACACCATCGAAAAACTACAGAACTCTAAACAACACGCCCCACCGCATCGAAAAGCTCTCGAATCTCTCTCTGTACGAGCAATCACCTGAACAACATTCATGCAGGATCACGCACGGATGCAGAGCAGAACCTCGCACTCATGCGAATTTGCACGTGGATTGCAGATATGGTGGGGTGAGGCGAGATACTCGGTAGGAGATTTGGCGTTAGGAAGGTCTTCCGTTTGGATGTGCTGTATAGAAAGTTATAATGTATTACGGTATTACAAAACTGGAAACTCGGCCGTCCCCTTCCCTTCCCCCGCACAACCCCACCCCCCCAACCCCCCCCCCCCCCCCACCCCCCCTCCCCGCCACCTCCCCCACCCTAGCACCGACTTCACCTTCAAATCCAAAACCGTGTTACACCTCGCCTGATCGACGAAACCTTATTGACGCCTTTCGCAAGTTTCGGACCAACAGGCGGCGAGCAGAGCTCGTTGCGTCCCCGCCGTCAATCCCCATAAACTCTGTTGTCTGGTCGCTTCGCTTGTCAGAGCACGCCAGACTGCAGCACACCGGAGTGTGTGAGAGTGGGAACGCTATTTGATGATGCTCACAACACGCAGCTGGTCATTCCCCTTCAAGTGATCAGAAGTTTCTTTCCGTGCAGCGGTAGCCGGATTCCAGAATAATCTCAAATTAGACGACAGCACGGGCTAGTACCGTCCGAACTTGATTTGTGTGTTTTTCCCGCCTTTTTTCTGCTCGATGTCCGCTCGTATCTAGTGTCACAGCGGGTTCACCGCCGTTGCTGCGGGAGCAGGTATGATGCGCACCCGCAATGATGATGGCGCTGACGGGTGGCGCGGGGAAAGTGTGGCGATGGCCGGAACGGATAGCGAAACGGGCGGTGCTGGTAACAGGGGTTTCGTCAGGAATGTGGCGAAACAAGACCCACGATTGCTCCTAGAAAAGCTTGACACGCCCACATTGGTACGCTTTTTTAGGCATCAACAGTGCTATCGGCTTAGTAAGTACGAGTTTTTTAGGTTCCTGCTAAGCGGCTTTGGAAGTATTCACAGCATCTATAACATTTCACACTTTCCCTTGTCTCCCCCCTCCGTCCGACCAATCAGGTGGCTCCAGAACTCGAACTCGGCCCTAAGAACCGCGTAGGCGCGTACCTGAAAACACTCGATAAGCTATCCGACGCGCTGCGGTTCTTCGAAGCGCATAATTATCTGGGCAGTTGCCGATTGGAGCTGCGGCAGGGAAGGGCGCTGATGGACGTTGCTGTGGCGCGACTGGGAGAGGAGTTTGGGGAGGTGCTGTGCGGTGGAAGGTGGGTTAGGGGGGGGAAGGGGGGGGGTCTAGCGGTGCAATGTGTGCTGGGGGAGGTGCAGTGGAGTGCAAGGTGCGCTGGAGGAGGTGCAATGCGGTGCAGGATGGTCCAAGGGAGAGGAGACGGCTCTGCTTCTTTTGTTGAGTCTCTTCGAAACGCCTCCACCCCCGCCCCACCCGCCTCTCCACACCCGCCTCTCCAACCTACCCACAGCATAACACCGGACCGAGGGTCATTACTCAAAGCAGCCACAGGCAAGATGTGTTTTGAGTCTCTCAAAATGCGCCCCACCTCCCTCCCCACCCGTCTCTCCACCCCACCCGCCTCTTCCCACGCGCCTTTCCACCCAAGCCACAGCATAACACCAGACCGAGGGTCATTGCTCCAATCAGCCGCAGGCAAGATGCCGGGTGAGGTTGTGACGCCCGCACCTCCGCTAAGGCCTGAGGCTGTGACGCAGCTTCGGCCCATGGCTGCTTGGATGCTGAGCAATGGATACGAGTCTTCGTGCCTCTCGGTGTACGAGTAAGGTTCGATTGCCTTTCACCGTATGATAGAGATTTTATTGCCCCATCGCTGTAGAACGAGTAAAATCCGATTCCCTTTCACTGTACGAGTTAGATTCGATTGATCTTAATTCTGCCAGTAAGTGTTCGATTTCTTGTCAGTGTTATCAAAATGATTCAATTGGATCACCTCTCTCTCTCCCCATCCTTGCCACCCAGTGCCTTTTGCTTGACCATTCCCCTATTCCTGCTCCCACTCCCCCTCGTCCTCTCCCATTCCCCCCTCCCCCCCTCTCCCCTTCACTACCTCCCCCCTCCCCTCCTCTCCCCCACAGGCAGTGCCGCGCGGCTGCTCTCCTGCAGTGCGTCACGCAGCTAAGCGGCAGCGCAGCAGCGTTGGGACCCGATGAGGTGGCTGCGTTGTCCTGGGAGGAGCGAGATCCCCTCTTGAAGCTATGGGTGCATAATGTGGGTTTTGAGTTTTCAGACGTCTCAAAACCCATAATGTGGGTTCTGAGGCTCGTTCTGTGGTGCCTCCAAGACAATGGGCAGCTTGCGGTAACGCTGGGTTTTGAGGCTTGCTTGACACCTTTTGAGGCGCCTCAAAAGGTGCCTCGAAGGCAATGGGCAGCTTGCGGTAACGCTGGGTTTTGAGGCTCGCTTGGCTAGTGCACTCGCTCTAATCATCGCGCTTTCTCCAATTTCCGATACATAACATACATTCGTTCATACATACATGCATGCACACATGCATACATACATACATACATACATACATACATACATACATACATACATACATACATACATACATACATACATACATACATACATACATACATACATACATACATACATACATACATACATACATGCATGCATGCATGCATGCATGCATGCATGCATACATACATACATACATACATACATACATACATACATACATACATACATACATACATACATACATACATACATACATACATGCATGCATGCATGCATGCATGCATGCATGCATACATACATACATACATACATACATACATACATACATACATACATACATACATATACATATTCACATAAGAAAAATAATAATTACCTTTGTCATTTGGCACCAAGAAGGCGGAAACAATGACCTCCTGTTGCCTGCATGTGGTAGATTTAGAAACTACCTTCCCCATCTGGCTCACTGATTTTGAGTCGACTCAAATACTACCCTCCCCATCTGGCTCACCTTGTCGTCCTGACAGGTGCTGGTTCTGGTTGGTCCAGAGGCAGAGCTGTTCCGAGCCATTATTGGGCAGAATCAACCGTCGTCCAACAACGCTCGACCGAGGTGCCTTGCAGGCATGGTGCTGCCCTCTCCGACTTTTGGCGTGGTGCTTCTTCTTTTGCCCGCAGGTGCTGCTTTTGGTTGGTCCAGAGACAGAGCTGTTCCGAGCCATCATCAACCTGAATAAAGAGACAGAACCGTCGTCCAACAACGCTCGAGCGAGGTGCCTTGCAGGCGTGGTGCTGCCCTCGCTGACGCTGCTGCACTCCTCTGCCTGCGTGGTAGCGGGGTTGTGTTGGGAACCGCAGCACCTCTTCCCGCTGCTGCATGTGGTGCAGGCACTGCTGACGCTGCAACCAGCGGTGAGTGGGGGTAGGGGAGGGTGGGCGGGTGGGTGGAGTGGTGGGTGGGTGGGTGGATGGTTGGGTGTGTGGATGGGTGGTTAGCTTCCATACCTCACTATACCTCGCTGTTCTGCACCATAACACACCATACCGCACCATACCTCACGATACCTCACGATACCCCACCATACCTCACCATACTCCATCATACCCCACCATACCTCACCAATTGTCGTATTTCCTGTTTGACATGTAACGCGGCAGAGTCAGGGCAAGAGGTGCGGCGCCTCTTCCTCCTCATCTGCTCCTCCCAACCTCTCTATACCTCCATACCTCACCACACCTCACCACACCTCACCATACCTCACCATACCTCACCATACCTCACCATACCTCACCATACCCAATGTTGTATTTCCCTTTAGGCAGGTAGAGAAGCAGTTCCCAGGGAGGGCAGGGCAAGAGGTGCGACGCCACTTCCTCCTCATCTGCTCCTCCCAACCTCACCATACCTCACTGCTAAGTTCTGAACGCCACTTCCTCCTCATCTGCTCTTCCCTGTGTTATTCCTTCAGCCATGTGGACTGGGTGAGCTGCAGTCGGGAAGTCACCTTTAGCAAAAGAAAGACAGTAGTGAACCTTTAGCTAATCTGTATGTTGTATCCTGCTAAGTTCCGAACGCCACTTCCTCCTCATCTGCTCCTCCCTGTGTCATCCCTTCCTCTTGTTGCCAAAAGTTGCACCCTCTCGCCCACCCACACCCCTTTCCATGGCAGGTAGAAAATTAATTCCCAGGGAGGGCAAGGTAAGAGGTGCGGCGCCTCTTCCTCCTCATCTGCTCCTCCCCCCATTCCCACTACCCCTTTCCTTGACAGGTAGAAAAGCAATTTCCGGGGGAGGCAGGACAGGAGGTGCGGCGTCTCTTTCTCCTCATCTGCTCCTCCCTCTGCGCCGCCGTGCGTCGGACCATCTCTGACTTCCAACTCAGAGTGCATTTCAACCCCACACAACCCCTCACCACCCCTTCCTCCCCAGCACGACAACCCCGCAACCTCCCCTCCTCCCCCACCCGCTCCTCTTCCTCCTCCTCCACCTCCCTCATCCCCCCCCCTCCTCTGTTTGATCTCTCTCCAACGCGGGAAATCCGGGATGCTCTGAGTGCTCTTAAAGCCAGTCCGGATGTGCTTCCTCTGACCAGCTACCTGGTCAACTTCGTCATTCTTTGCTTGGACCCGTGAGTGCCTGAATGCCCGAGTTCCTGAGTGCCTGCGCGCCTGAGTTCCTGAGTTTCTGGAATGTAAGGTGAGCTTCGCAAGAGGGCTGTGAAATGCTTCCTCTCACCACCTACCTGTACCTCTCACCACCTACCTGTACCTCTCACCACCTACCTGTTCCTCTCACCACCTACCTGTTCCTCTCACCACCTACCTGTTCTTCTCACCACCTACCTGTTCCTCTCACCACCTACCTGTTCCTCTCACCACCTACCTGTTCCTCTCACCACCTACCTGTTCCTCTCACCACCTACCTGTTCCTCTCACCACCTACCTGTTCCTCTCACCACCTACCTGTTCCTCTCACCACCTACCTGTTCCTCTCACCACCTACCTGTTCCTCTCACCACCTACCTGTTCCTCTCACCACCTACCTGTTCCTCTCACCACCTACCTGTACCTCTCACCACCTACCTGTTCCTCTCACCACCTACCTGTTCCTCTCACCACCTACCTGTACCTCTCACCACCTACCTGTTCCTCTCACCACCTACCTGTTCCTCTCACCACCTACCTGTTCCTCTCACCACCTACCTGTTCCTCTCACCACCTACCTGTTCCTCTCACCACCTACCTGTTCCTCTCACCACCTACCTGTTCCTCTCACCACCTACCTGTTCCTCTCACCACCTACCTGTTCCTCTCACCACCTACCTGTTCCTCTCACCACCTACCTGTTCCTCTCACCACCTACCTGTTCCTCTCACCACCTACCTGTTCCTCTCACCACCTACCTGTTCCTCTCACCACCTACCTGTTCCTCTCACCACCTACCTGTTCCTCTCACCACCTACCTGTTCCTCTCACCACCTACCTGTTCCTCTCACCACCTACCTGTTCCTCTCACCACCTACCTGTTCCTCTCACCACCTACCTGTTCCTCTCACCACCTACCTGTTCCTCTCACCACCTACCTGTTCCTCTCACCACCTACCTGTTCCTCTCACCACCTACCTGTTCCTCTCACCACCTACCTGTTCCTCTCACCACCTACCTGTTCCTCTCACCACCTACCTGTTCCTCTCACCACCTACCTGTTCCTCTCACCACCTACCTGTTCCTCTCACCACCTACCTGTTCCTCTCACCACCTACCTGTTCCTCTCACCACCTACCTGACACCTATGCGCCCCCGTATGCGCCACCCCCACCCTCGCCAGGTCCCTATACCTAAGCACGCTACTGCTGGTGTACGGAGGGGAGGAGGGGGACGAGGAGGGAAACGAGGAGGTGGGCGTGGCATGGGTGGGCGTGGCACGGGTGGGCGTGGCACGGGTGGGGGCGGCATGGGTGGGGGCGCACGGGTGGGGGTGGCATCACGGCTGCTGCTGTCGGCTCTTGAACCGAATCTGGAGCCTTCCTTCCCCCCCCAACCCCCTCCCCCCACCCTCGCCAGGTCCCTATACCTAAGCACGTTGCTGCTGGTGTATGGAGGGGAGGAGGGGAACGAGGAGGTGGGCGCGGCACGGGTGGGGGTGGCATCACGGCTGCTGCTGGCAGCTCTGAAGCCGAATCTGGAGCGCATGGGAGGCGCGTTCTATTGTGATGAGGGCATGCAAGCCTTCTTTCTCCTCAACAACTGTGCTTACATGCTGCACAAGGTGGCAGAGTGAGTGGGGGTTGATTTCTGTGCATGGAGGTGCATTTGCATTTGAATGTGCATTTGCTTTTGAATGTGCATCTGCATTTGAACGTGCATTTGCATTTGAGTAGGCATTTGCATTTGAATGGGTATCTCGCAGTGTGCTCTCCAGTGTGCTCTCTTATGCGTGTTTCGGTGTCTGTGAGAGATGACTTTTGAGTCGACTCAAGAGTCACCTCTTTCCAGTGTGCTCCCTTCTGCGTGTTTCGGTGTCTGTGGGAGACGGACAGGCATGAGGAGGAGCACCTTTCTTACGCGCGTTTGATGTGACTGTGACTGGCAGGCATGACGAGGAGCACGTGAAGCAGGTCCTTGGGCAGGCTTGGTTGGACGAGGTTGCAAAGGAGCTGTTGAGACATCGAGACACGTACATTCGGTGCATCAGAGACAAGGTGAGAGAGGTGGCTACACTCGGTGCATCAGGGAGAAGGAGCTGTCGAAGTTGAACAGGTGGGCTGCGGAGGCCATATTTCCATCAACTCTTGCTGTTTAGGACAGAGAGAAAAACCCCATGCAAATCAGGGAGAAGGTGAGCGAATCCGACTTTTGATTCGACTCAAACGTCTAGGAGCTGTTGAGACATCGAGACACGTACATTCGGTGCGTCAAAGAGAAGGTGGGTGAGATGGCTACAGTCGGTGCATCAGGGACAAGGTGAGTGAATCTGATTTCTGAGTCGACTCAGCGGTGTTGTGTGCCATTGTAAACAAGGTACTTCTGTTGAGGCGCCTCAACAAGGTACTTCTGTTGAGGCGCCTCAACAAGGTACTTTTGAGTCAAAAGTGCGTGAAGCATATTTCACACCCTTCTGGATGCCAGCCATTCAGAGGCAGCAGAGCAGAGCACGTGGAGCATAGGGAATGTGAGCGTGACGTGAACGCCTTTACCCCCCACCCGTAATGAGTCGTGTTTTGAGTCGACTCAAAACGTGACGTGAACGCCTTTACCCCCACCCCCTCACCAGGTGGCACCAGTGCTGTGGGGTCATCAAGCGAACGCTCAAGCCTTTGTGAAGCAGCTTCAGGCATTCCGCAGCCTGCTGGATGCCATTCAGAGGCAGCAGAGCAGAGCACGTGGAGCATAGGGAATGTCAATAGTGCATCAAGCATACCCTTTAACCTCCCCCACCCCCCCACCAGGTGGCACCAGTGCTGTGGGGTCATCAAGCGAACGCTCAAGCCTTCACGAAGCAGCTTCAGGCGTTTCACAGCCTGCTGGATGCTGTTCAGAGGCAGCAGAGCATGTGGAGCATTGGGAATGCCGATGCGCGGGCAAGCGTGCGGGACGAGGTGGTTTTGCAGGTGCTTCAGCAATACAGGGACTTTTTGGACCGGCACAGGTGGGTGGGTGGAATGGAAGCAGGTGGGGAGAAAGGTGGGTTGGGTTGGGTGGAAGCAGGTGGGGAGAAAGATGTGACTTTGAGTTGAGTTACAGGTTTCTCAGGTACTTCAGCAATACAGGAACCTTCTGGACCGACACAGGTGGGTGGAATGGAAGCAGGTGGGTGGAATGGAAGCAGGTGGGTGGAATGGAAGCAGGTGGGTGGAATGGAAGCAGGTGGGTGGAATGGAAGCAGGTGGGTGGAATGGAAGCAGGTGGGTGGAATGGAAGCAGGTGGGTGGGGAGAAAGAGGTGCTTTCTGAGTTGGTGCCCATGCCCAGAAATGGCTTCTCCCAGGTGCTAATGCGATACATGGCGCCGCATGGCTTCGCATGCCATGGCATGTAACACGTATGGCGCGGCATGTCATGGGATGTAAACCCCGCGTATGGCATGGCATGGCATGCAACACGTATGGCATGGCATGGCATGGCTTGGCATGGCATGTAACCCCGTGTGGCAGGTCTATAGTGGAAAGCCGGGCCTGCAAGGTGCAGGTGCCAACATGGCAGGAGATGCATGTTCGCCTCACAGAGGTATTCAACTTTGTAAAGAGGCAAGCACAATGAGATACTTTCGAGACGACTGAAAAACAAAGCAAGCATAATGAGATGACATGATGTTGGCATGTGTATAATGTGTTGAAACAGGCCTTGGTATTGGTTTAGCGTCGGCCTTGGTATTGTGTTGTAACTAGTTACTAGACCGAGGGCTGTCACACCAGGTGGATGTCAGAGCAGTAAGACCGAGGGCTGACACGGCAGCAGGTGGGTGTCAGACTTGCATGTATAAGAAAATTATGTTTTGGATATGTAGTAAATAGGGTGTAGCATTGTAGCATTTGTTAGGCTAGAACAAGTCTTGCAGTTTTCAATACCGGAATACACTCCAAATGCTACATAAATGTCCATATGATCAGATAAAAGATCGCATTATGCCCTGTACAAGTAAGATACTACTACTGATATACTACCATTTCAGCTCGTCCAGCGCAGGGCTATTGGGAGTAAGTGAGGCAGCAAAGGTGCGAGCCACAGTTGCCACCCATTGGGTATAGAAGAAGTAGCACCAGGCAGTCCAGGAGACCAGGCCCTATAATGGGGAGTGCATAAGGAAGCAGAGAGGTACAAAACGGTGTGAGGTGGTGGAAAGCAGGAGGCAGTGGCCACCCACTGGGTGTAGAAGAAGAAGCACCAGACAGTCCATGAGACAAGGCCCTGCATTGACAGGAGAGGCAAGGGAAGAGATGCTAAGCGGTGTGAGGTGGTGGAAAGCAGGAGGCAGCGGTCACCCACTGGGAGTAGAAGAGGTACTAGCAACAAGCAGTCCAAGGCACCAGGCCCTGCATTCGGGGTTGTATAGGAGCAGCAAGCATTGCATGGCATGGCATGGCATGGCATGAAACGGCATGGCATGGCATGGCATCACGTGGCATGGCATGGCATCGCGTGGCATGGCATGGCATCGCGTGGCATGGCATGGCATCGCGTGGCATGGCATGGCATCACGTATGGCAGAGCGGGTGGAGTGGGGACAGTGGGCTCACCTCTCCAGCAATGAACATGTCTGGTTCAGTGTAGTGCCAGAGGCCAAAGTACCTGGGGTGGAACAGGGTGGAATCAGGTGAGTTCCTAAGATGCCTCTCTTGCAATGAACATGTCTGGTTCAGTGTAGTGCCAGAGGCCAAAGTACCTGGGGTGGAACAGGGTGGAATCAGGTGAGTTCCTAAGATGCCTCTCTTGCAATGAACATGTCTGGTTCAGTGTAGTGCCAGAGGCCAAAGTACCTGGGGTGGAACAGGGTGGAATCAGGTGAGTTCCTAAGATGCCTCTCTTGCAATGAACATGTCTGGTTCAGTGTAGTGCCAGAGGCCAAAGTACCTGGGGTGGAACAGGGTGGAATCAGGTGAGTTCCTAAGATGCCTCTCTTGCAATGAACATGTCTGGTTCAGTGTAGTGCCAGAGGCCAAAGTACCTGGGGTGGAACAGGGTGGAATCAGGTGAGTTCCTAAGATGCCTCTCTTGCAATGAACATGTCTGGTTCAGTGTAGTGCCAGAGGCCAAAGTACCTGGGGTGGAACAGGGTGGAATCAGGTGAGTTCCTAAGATGCCTCTCTTGCAATGAACATGTCTGGTTCAGTGTAGTGCCAGAGGCCAAAGTACCTGGGGTGGAACAGGGTGGAATCAGGTGAGTTCCTAAGATGCCTCTCTTGCAATGAACATGTCTGGTTCAGTGTAGTGCCAGAGGCCAAAGTACCTGGGGTGGAACAGGGTGGAATCAGGTGAGTTCCTAAGATGCCTCTCTTGCAATGAACATGTCTGGTTCAGTGTAGTGCCAGAGGCCAAAGTACCTGGGGTGGAGCAGGGTGGAATCAGGTGAGTTCCTAAGATGCCTCTCTTGCAATGAACATGTCTGGTTCAGTGTAGTGCCAGAGGCCAAAGTACCTGGGGTGGGGTGGGGAACGGTGGGGCACAGTGTGGTGGGGTGGGGTGCGGTGCGGTGGGGTGGAAACAGGGTGGAATCAGGGTGCAAGATGCCTCTCTTGCAACGAACATGTCTGGTTCGATGTAGTGCCAGAGGCACCAGTACCTGGGGTGGGACAGGGTGGGGCAGGGTCAGATGGGGTGGGGCAGGGTGGGGCAGGGTCAGATGGGATGGGGCAGGGTGGGCCAGGGTCAGATGGGGTGGGTGGGGAAAGGTGGGGAAGGATGGGGCGGGGTGGAGCAGGGTAGGGACTGGTAGTCTGTGAAGATGCCACAGACCAAAACAGAAAAAGAAACTATTTCAGGAATGAAGGTGTCTCCAGCATCAAAACGCCCCTACGATTCGTAACTACTTTTCAAAATATCACATCATTTTATGCATTTCTCTGTGGCTGGAGGGTTGAAGGCGGCAGAAGAGGACAAAGAAAGAAACTAGTTGGCACATAGCACAGTCACCTTCACTAGCAGCACATTTCGTCTCAAAACTATTATAAGCACTCCCTCAGACTCACTTCATTATGAGCACTTCTGAGGCGGGAGCACCGATGGCGACAAAGAGGGCAAGGAGGTACCCAGGGAGGGTGCGATCAAAGGCAAACCAGTTGGCATGTACCAGTCTTGCTCAGACTCACTTCACTCCCCACCCCATACTCACTTCATAATGAGCACTTCTGAGGCGGGAGCACCGATGGCGACAAAGAGGGCGAGGAGGTACCCAGGGAGGGTGCGGTCAAAGGCAAACCAGTTGGCATGGGCGCACAGAGCGAGGATAGCGAAGATGCCTGTAGAGGGGATGGAATGACCCTCGAAGAGCTGAGAGCTGAAGTGGAGGAGGCTGATCAGCACACTGAGAGGGGGGGAGGGGTGCGGAAGGGGGATATGGGACGGAAAGGGAGCAGGGAAGGAGTGAAAAGCAGGGTGAAGGGACAGTGCAATGACTGTAGAGGGGATGGCATGAGCTTTGAAGAGCTGGGAGCTGAAGTGGAGGAGGCTGGTGAGCACCCTGGGAGGGGGGAGAGGAGGAGAAGGGGGATGAGAGTGCGATGCTTGTAGAGGGGATGGCATGGGCCTCGAAGAGCTGGGAGCTGAAGTGGAGGAGGCTGATGAGCGCCCTGAGAGGGGGGGAAGAGGGGGGGTAGGGGATTTGGGAGGGAATGGTTGCAGAAAGGACAGAGACATTGCCTGTAGAGTGGTTGGCATGAGCCTTGAAGAGCTGGGAGCTGAAGTGGAGGAGGCTGATGAGCACAGGGGGGGAAGAGGGGGAAAAGGGGATTTGGGAGGGAATGGTTGCAGAAAGGACAGAGACATTGCCTGTAGAGTGGTTGGCACGGGCCTCAAAGAGCTAGGAGCTGAAGTGGAGGAGGCTGATGAGCGCCCTGATAGGAGGGGAGGGGGGGAAGTTGAGGGTGGAGGGGTGGAGGCGAGAGGGGCAGTCGGGGTATAGAGGAATGGAGGAGGTGAGAAGGGACTGATGAGCACCCTGATAGGAGAAGAGTGCTGGGAGAAACAGGTTTATGGGAGGACAGAGCTAGAAACATATGATAAAGCACGAGAGTGAATAATAATTCGTCTTTGAAATACTGTTTTGAGAAAAAAAACACTAACAATCAAAGAAGCAAACAAAGAAACCTGTGCTCACCCCATGCAGCTCAGCAAGCGCAACCAAGAGCCCCTGGGGGGGGAGGAGGCGAGGGAAACCCATCACATGTACCAACCAATGCTCTTCGGCACCTTATAACGCGTACAGACACCAGATCACAGCAAGCCACTCACCCCATGCAGCTGAGCAAGCGCAACCAGGAGCCCCTGGGGGGGGAGGAGGCGAGGGAAAACCAGGAGGAGGAGGAAGAGGAGGAGGAAGAGGAGGAGGAAGAGGAGGAGGAAGAGGAGGAGGAAGATGCTGGTCCTGGTTGCAGCTCTTCCCGAGGCGAGGCAGAACTATCAGAGGGCGACACTCCCAGAGCAAGAGAATTATCCAGGTGCTGAGACCCCGATTTGAAAGCTAATTGGTCTATCAACAGCTGCAGGGCGCCAACAACGGCGTACATGGCGCCCAGCAGAGGGAAGACCCACACGCTCGTGTACAGGCCGTCCGGGCCCCCTATTATGAGGCCCCCATTCACGTCGTACACCTGATGGTGGTGCGGGAGATAGGCTAGTTGCTTGAGAGCAGGGAGAGGATAGGGCAGGGCGAGAGCAGGGAGAGGGTGAGAAAACGGATAGCATGGAAGCGCAGGGGAGAAGGACGCACCTCAGGCCTCCAACGGAGTGGAGGCCCTCCAGAAGCGGACCCAGGGCGTGCTTTTGGCGTGTTTTGAGTCCAGGAGCAGGGAACGAAAGCAGGGAGAGGGCAGAGCTGAGGGCATACCTGCAGGCAGAGAGACGCACCTGCAGGCCCACGACGGAGTGAATGCCGTCCAGAGGCGGTCCCAGGGCGAATCCAGCCGCAAACAGACAAGCCAGCACAGTGGGCCAGCTGAAGTGGGCGGCTGTCAGGGAGATTCCCGGAAAAAAAGCGGGTCGTGCATGCGTGGATCATGTGTGGGACAGGGGCAAAAGCGGTGAGATCGACTATCAGACTCAAGCTGACCGCCTCTCACACTGAAAAAGTAGATTGCAGTCAACGCCTGTTTTTGTAAACGCCCCTCTCATTCACCTCAAACCCCTCTCACTCACCTCACGCCGCTCTCAATCACCTCACACCCCTCTCACCCACCTCTCACCCCTCTCACTCAACTCACACCGCTCTCACTCAACTTACACTTCCTCTCACCCATGCCCTGACTCACCTTCTTCCGACACTGGCCGTGCTTCCGACACAGAGTAAACGCCCTCGCCAGAAGCAACTGTGTCTGGCTTCTGCTGCTGGTGCTGTTGCTCCTGCAGCAGCTGCGTGTCCACTGGTCCCTGCTCATCCTGCTTTTCTGCAGCAGGCGGCGTCGGGGATTGCGGAGAGCCGGAGGAAGACGCACGCGTGGTTCCCAATCGAGACGATTTCCGGCGACTGACAGAAACTGAAGAACTCATGGACGGAATCTGCTCGACTGACACGTGCATTCGACTTCCAATCCCGGTTGCATAAGACGTCCTCGCAGAACAGTTATTACGTGGGCTATCAGACCAGAAGCCTAAGATCGCAAGCGAGGCGTGCGCCTTAGTTATCCTCTCTGAACAGGGAAGTCGCCGCGGGCCGACGTTTTTCAAGAAACTGGCCGCCATAGTCGCTGCTTTCTAGCGCCAAGTTCGCAAGAGTTGTGCTGGATGAGAAAGGACGAGCAAAAATTGCATTCAGGGGCAAAAAAACTACGTGCTCTGCAAAGCGTAATTTCTGAAGTAGGCTGCGCTTCGTGACCTGCCGTGTAGAGGAGAGCCGTGATGGGAAAGGCGAGACGACGAGCTATGAGAAGATTGGAGGAGAGAGAGAAGTGGAGCAAATTGCAAGGTGAGGCGAACATTTGTGGGCGAATCTGTGCCACGTTATCTCAGGTTCCCCTCCCCCCAAGTTTCAGGAAAAGGGAGTTGTCGAGGTGGCTTTTGACGAATCGCGAGAAAGTGGGGTTATTGTGCGCTTCGATATCATACAGATGACTAAGGTATGTTCATTAACAGGAAAGTGAACAGCTTCAGAAGCACTCAAATTTATTTCTACATTGTATATACCATACTAGACAAATATATTTTAACGGCACAAGAGAGTCAGAACTGTATGTACATCGTATCCAACCAGCAATATCGAATGCGTAGTGGTGACGCCTTGAGCTAGGACAACCATAAACACCTTAGCTCAGCCTCCAGCAAACCCCACCACAACATCACCAGCATTCTCATCTCCAGCACCCAATCACCAGCATTCTCATCTCCATCTTGTCGCTCCCACCTTCCCTCACTCCTCTCATTTCCATTCCCCATCCCATATCCAGCAAACCCCTCCTTCCCCCCTCTCCATACTCCATCCTCAAAACTGCCTTTCCTCTGCAATCCAACTTCCGTCTCTTATCCCTCCTCATTCCTCCGCTGCGCCACCCTCCAATCCTTCACCTGACCGAACCTGCTTCCCAAGACGAACCAACTGTTGCTGCAAGGCGGCCACTTCCATAGCCACGGCGAGCGCGCGCGCGAATCTGCTCTGCGCCGACCGCAGGGTGGGATGAGCCAATCCCGCCAGGGGTAGCGGCTTCCCGTGGCTTGCACCCGCCGCAGATCTCGTTCCTGGGTGACCGGGATCTGCGGAATCTCCGTTGGCAGGAATTCGTTTTTCAACAGATAGCTCTGAAAGTGCAGAATCCGTCTCGTGGAGGATCCAGCAACCAACGCAGCCTCTGCTGTTGCCGGCGCCACCACTGCTGCCGGCGCTGCTGCTGGTTGTTGAGTCGCCTTTGCAAGTAGGAGCGCACGGCCACTGGATCTGAAAATCTGGACACGTGGCGCTTTCGTCTTCAACGCGAACCCTGACAAGCCTAGGATCGGCTCGTTCCTCTTCATCGTCGCTGACTCCATTCGCGTCACCTGGCGACGCCCTGTGCGCCGTCGCACACCCGACGAGATGCATCAGCCCACCGTCGCCCAAAGGCGACGATGCGTGACTGTAACGAGCGGCAGCAAGGTCCATCCAGCCATGCTGCAGCTGCGTCGCGAGCACGTGGCGCAGCCGCACGACGGCGTCGGTGCTATCCAACAGCTGTAACGTGGAGGACTCCATCGTCTACGAACGCCCTGTTTCGTTACGCGCGAGTGGTAACCCAAGCCAAGCAACACGAATTGGAAATCTCAAGAATGTGCCAGCTTGTGGTGGTGGTGGGTGAGGGAACAGAGACGGGTGGCGGAATAGAGTTGTGCCCCTGGGCGTGAATCTGAGGGGGGGAACGAGCGAGGGGGGGCGGAAGGAGGCGGGAGTGCGCCTGGACCTGGACTGCTGCTTTTTGCGGAATCGGAGATTCACGTGATTGACCCCCGTGTCGATCCAATGCAGCCTCTGATTGGACAGAATCTACGAGCCTGCTTAGGGTAAATTTATTTTGTGAACCTCGAAATAATGAAAACGCAGTGGACGCAAAGGAACACGCATACAACACTCTCATATATACAAGGACGAAAGAACCTTTCTTTTGTGGCTCAGGTCAGGTTTGGCTTGCGAACTCATTGGGTGAACCCAGCCAAGACAAGGAACAGGTCAGGTGGGGTAGAAATTTGGGGTTGCCTAGGCAGGGCGCTCTGCATCTCAGGCAGGGCTCCGCCTACCCCCACGGTTTTCCGCTAATAAGGCGGAACATGTCGTCGAACCGAATCCCGCCCGCTCCGCCAATTGCGTTCCAGCCACACATCGTACAGCTTCCCCCACTCCGTCCCCGCTCAATTCTCTTCACTCCGCGAAATTCCCAACAGGCAGCTGGACTTCGTTCGTTCCCCTTCGACTCCCTATTCCGCTCCGCATTCATCCTCCCCCTCCCCCCTTTCCCCCTATTATCGCCTCTCCCTCCTCCCGTCTTACCGGGCTCTTCCCCCTAATATCTGTTTCTCCCTTTACAGAGAGCTCCAGATTTCAGACTAGCATTGATGTTGCTCTGCTGCTTGTTTCTGGAACCTGCCAGTTTTTTGCCGTCTAATCCCTCCACCAGCCTAGGCTAAGTCAATGTGCACTCTACTTCTTCCGTGTTGCCTGTCAGTGCTGATATTCTTGATTTAGCGGAACACCATAATGCTCCCTGTTATCGTTCCTCCGCAAGGAGGCGTTCGGCTTTTGTCCGAAGTGCCTTTGTTGGATTCGCCTCGTCTCAGCCTTCTAGGCTTGCGGAATAGGCGCGGAGCAACTCAATGTGGGGCAAAGATTTCTTCTTCAGCTACTCGGGCCTCTATTCCACAAAAGGTTAAAACTTTAATGCTTTTCCCGTTCCATGCAGCTTATTCCGGACTTTGGTTAACGGTTTTTCCATGCCATAGGCGTCAGTATGACGCAAATGCCTACTGCACTTGTTTTCTCCCTGGGAATTTGGAATTCCTGAATCTGTTCTCGCCTTGATTCCGTCCCTCGCTGCCTTTCCCAGGAGCATCACTACGGGCATTTGACTAGCGGTCACGACCACAAACGAGCAGTACGCGGTCCCGCCGTTGTAAAACACGAGAATGACGTCGACAACGTCACAATCGATAACGGGGTTCGCGGTGATAGTAACCTCCGCACGAACAGCGCTTCATCACATGGCGATAAAATAACGGTCTCAGTGCGAATCCACTCCGTGTCCGCCGGAGAAACCGTTTCTTCTATCGCATCCAGCTACTCCATTCCTGTGGACGCTCTTCTCGCGGCTAACGGCAAATCGTCACCAAGCATTCGCGTCGGTGAGGTGCTTTATCTCCCGTCCTCTTCGGCACCTTCCGTCGCATCATCGCAGTCGAAGGCGCACTCGGGGCCGCAGTCAGGACACTCTCAATTTGTGTCTCTGCACATTCGTGAGAACCACGGAACGAGCTCCAGGCAGTCGATTTTCCCCACCGGCTCGCAAGAATGCGTCCGTTTGTGCACGGACAGCAGCGCTACCATCGCTGACGCAACTTCCATCTCCACCGGGACCGCCACCACCAGTACCAGCAGCAGCAGCAGCAGCAGCGGCAGCGGTGAGGTGCTTTATCTCCCGTCCTCTTCGGCTGGCGCCGCTGCTGCAGCATCTGCGCCTGTCGCTACCGCGGGGCGCGTGTGCCTCACTAGCTGCCGGACCGCTCCCACTGGCAGGGAAGCGGGAATGCGGATGAGGGTGAGGGGATGGCTAAAGAATTCCTCTGGTGCTGTCAGTGCGAGTCCTGATACTCGCGTCATTGTGTCACCCGCTGCTCCTTGTGAGGGAACTTCGCTTCCTCTGCTGGTAACATCCGCCCCTGCTGCTCCTGCTGCTGCTCCTGCTGTTCTTGCTGCTGCTTCAGCTGCTGCTGTTGCTGATGCTTCTCCTGGAGGTTCTACTCATGTCGTCGACGCTCCTGATGCTCACTCCCAGGCTGCATCTGTTGCTGCCACTGCCGCAGCCACGTCTGCCGCTGCCGAGTACGAGCTGAGCGGGTTTGCTAACTTCTTCGCTGCCAGAAAGCACCTCAGTCGGACCATGTACCTTGACGGGTGGCAAAAGGGCCCTGGGGGTACCCACACAGGGAGTGACGGTCCAAGACAGGGTGTGGTGGCGTCGGTGACTCAGGCGTTAGTTCCTGTAAGAGGGGGTGAGGTGCAGCAATCGCTGCCGTTGATTGGCCTCGGAGTCGCTATCACTGTCGCTGCGGGAGCTCTTGCTGTGCGCTCGGGATTGCATGATCTGGTCCGTGCCGCCTTGCTGCTGCGGCTGCAGGGTTTCTCGCAGAAGCAACACGACCAGAGACAGCAGCAGCAGGAGCAGGAGAAGGAGCAGCAGGGGGAGGGAAGTGAGCAGAACGTGGGAAGAATGAACGAGCAGGAGTCGCTCCAGCGTGCGAAGGACGAGAAACGGCTAGAGTTTTCGAAAAGGGCTCTCAAGAACTACCTAGACCTGCAGAAACGAGAGGTCAAACGGTCTGGCATGGAAGGAGCTGCTCTGCGGCTCAAGATGAAAATGGCCAAGGCGAACGGGAAGGACCCTCTACCATTCGCCCCGTTACAAGATAAGATGGGCCCGCGACGAAACGTGATGGCCGAAATCCGCAGTGTTGTGGCCGAGGCGGTGGCAGAGGTGGTAGAAGGAGAGGAATGCATGGTCGTACTTGAGAGGAGCAAGGCATTGGTGAAGGACGCAGAGAGCACTGGGGAGCCGATGGTAGTGGAGAAGGGGATTATTATGGGAAACGATACTGGTCGAGGGGCAGAGGAGGCGGGAAGAATGATTGAGATGATGGAGAAGGGATGGTTTGGTGGAGCTGTTGAAGCAGAGTCAGGAAGAATGACGGGTCCTGAAGAGGATGAGTATGGGCTGGGAGAGGTGGGGCCGGAGGTATTTCTGGAGTGGAGCGTGGAGAAGGCTAGGGAGGCTAACGCTCATGCTGCCATGAGACTGCCAATAAATACAAATGAAAGAGGCTAAGAATGCTGGATGCAGCTGAACAGGAGGCACGGGACTCCTGGATGAGAAACTACTGACAGCACATGGCCTGTATTTATACTGACAGTGCAACTGACTTGCATTGACAGTTACATTCTGATTTTGAAGATGTAGTGGGTGCTGGTGAATATACTGCGGGATATAACTCGCTAGTGCTTGTGTTTGATCATTTACAAATTGCAATCTATATGTTACCGGTGTGTGGAGTTGGATTATTTGGTTATAATCTCGAAATTGTTTCACAAAACACGGACAGTTAGCAATGTTCGATTTACCTAAAGACATTCAATCGAACAATCTAAAGGGGGGTGTAAGTCGGCGTCGAGCCCCAGTTCGAAAACCAGGGTCTGACAGAATGAGCAAGAGGCGGCTCGAGCGAAGCCATACGTAGCATTTTCTGTTTGGTGTTGACAGCTGTTACGGGTGCAATGAATCGAGGTAGCGAGAATTGCACTAAGGTGTCAAACGAGTACAAAATGTGAGCGAAGGCGTGAGCGAACATTTATACGCGAAACATGCAAAACGGTAACGCGGTGCGTGCGAGCTTGCTAGTGCTACGCTGGAGCGAGGCTCGGGCTAGTCCCGAAGCGTAGGCCGATACGGCCATGCCAGCAGTGCGAGGTTTGGTAAAACAGTGCGCGCGAAGTCGGCGAAGTTCCGTTAGCAGTAACGGGCGAACAATCGGCTGTTGCTGTACGCGATGTAGTCGGCTCCGTAAGGAATGCCGAGAAAATTCCTTACACTACCCCCCCCCTCAAGAAGCCCCCTCCGCTACGCGAGTGCGTGTATATCGCGGAATTCCCGGCTCCTCAGGTACACTTGCAGGGCAGGGTGATTTTCGATGTTGCTCAGGGGCACCCAGCTATCTTCAGTTGGCGTGCGGTCTTTCCAGCGAACGAGGAATTCAATCCTCCTGATTCCCGTGGGGTGGCGGATCCGATGGCTCAGAATTTTTTCGGGCTCGATGATCGGCTCTGATGCAGGGCGAGTCATTGATTGTGGCCGGTGACGCGGCAGTTGACTTGTGGTCGGGATGTATGGGCGAAGTAGGCTGACGTGGAACGAAGGGCTGATGTACCAGTCGGTTGGCAACAGTAGGTGTGCGGTGACGGGTGTGATCATGTGACTGATTTGGAATGGTCCACAGTAGCGTGGTCGTAATTTTGGTACGTCGGGCAGTCGCAGATTTTGCGTGTCGAGTAGCACGTAATCTCCAGATTGATACGTGACGGGGCGGCGGTGGCGATCAGCGTTGCGCTTAGCGATGACGTTGGCCTTTTTTATGGCTTCGGCGGCTCTGGCGCGGGCAGCTTGCAGGATTTCGGCGAATTGTTGTGCGCGTGGCGTTGGGTTGTCCGGACTCGGCGTCATGGGCACTATGGAGTTCTGCCCATAGTTCAGGTAGAACGGGGACTGCTGCGTCGTGGCTGATGTGGCGTTGTTGTACGCGAACTCGATCAGCGGCAGCTGCTGCTCCCAGGTCGTGGGGTCGTCGCACGTGGCACGAATCAACTGCTCCATCGTCTGATTCGTCCGCTCCGTTTGGCCGTCGGTCTCGGGGTGGTACGACGAACTGAACTGTAGCCTGGTCCCGAACTGCTCCCAGAGGTTCTTCCAGAAGTTGCTGGTACATTTCGTGTCCCTGTCGCTGATAATTGCTGCTGGTATCCCGTGCAGGCGAACAACGGCTGCGATGAACAGGCGAGCGGTCTCCTCGGCTGAGATCGACTTTTTGCACGCAGCGAAGTGTGCCATCTTCGTCAGCCTATCCACGACGACCATCACCGCGTCGTTACCCCCAGGGTTCGAAGGTAACCCTGTGACGAAGTCCATGGTCACTTGCTGCCAGGCGCGTTCGGGCGGTGGGATCGGCTGCAATTGACCCGCCTTCCGCTTCCTTGAACTCTTCATCACATGACACGTCGGGCACGAGCCCACGTGCTGCTGTACGTCGGTCAACAGCTCCGGCCAGTAATAGTACCGCTGCAGTTGCTGTCGCGTTTTTTCTACCCCGAAATGTCCCGAGGTAATCCCGTCGTGTGCCTCCTGTAGTAGCAGCTCCCTCAGTAGTGAGTACCCGGGTACCCAAATGCGGTTTGTGCCTGCTTTTACGTAATAGACTCCTTTTGCTTCTGCCAGTTGCTGTGAATTTCCGGTCGTGAAAAATGGGTCGGTGCGGTATCCGTGGGTGAATAGGCCAGTTAAAAGCGGGTTGGTCTGGGCGAGTAGGATGGCATGGAGTTGGGCGGTGGGGCGGGTGAGAGCGTCGGCGATGTTGGATGCACCCTTTTTGTACGTAACGATGTAGTGAAAGTTGGACTCGAGATAGTCCAACCAGCGAATCTGTCGTGGGTTGAGATTCGGTTGGGCGCGAAGATACTGTAGCGAGCGGTGGTCTGTCCGTACTGTCACGTCGGCGCCAGTCAGGTAACATCGCCAAACTTTGAACGCGTGCACGATCGCTAGCATCTCGCGGTCGTGTATCGGGTAGTTACGTTCGGGCGGGTGTAATTTGCGGGACTCGTACGCGATTGGCTGGAGGCCGTTCCCGAAATCCTGCAACAGTACTGCTCCCACAGCGATGTCACTTGCGTCGGTGACGAGCTCGAACGGACGGTGGGGATCTGCAATGTGAAGGACGGGCGGGGAGCACAAAATATTTTTGAGGGCCGAGAAGGCAGCTTGCTCTTTCTCCCCCCACGTGTACTCAACCCCCTTCCTCAGCAGGTCAGTCAACGGGGCAGTCAGCTTCGCCATGTCGGGGACGAACCGGCGCACGTAGTTGACGAACCCCAGGAAACTCTGCAACTCGGTCAAGTTGGTCGGCGCGTGCCAAGCCTGAATCGTCGCAATTTTCTTCGGGTCTATTTCCACTCCTACAGCTGAAATAACATGTCCCAAAAACTCCAGGCGGTCCTGTAAGAACTCACACTTAGATGCTTTGGTCACTAGGCGGTTCTCACTCAGGATTTTAAAAACTGCTTCGATGTCTTGTAAGTGCTGTGCTCTGTCAGGGCTGTAAATCAGTATGTCGTCCAGATAAACGATGACGCACTTATCTAAAAGCGGGCGGAATGCTTCGTTCATGGTCATTTGGAAAGTGGCGGGGGCGTTGGTCAGTCCGAATGGCATGACGGTGTATTCGAAGGATCCGTAGCGTGTTCGGAATGCGGTTTTAGGGCAGTCGGGTGGGTTGACGCGGATTTGGTGGTAGCCTCCTCGGAGGTCGATTTTCGAGAAAACCCGGGCTGTGCGCAGTTGGTCGATCAGTTCGTCGGCTCGTGGGATGGGGTAACGGGATTTGATGGTAACCCTGTTCAGTGCCCTGTAGTCGATGCACATGCGAAAACCCCCGTCCTTTTTCGGTGTGAACAGTATTGGTGCGGCGAAGGGCGACGAACTAGGGCGGATGAATTCCTTTTCGAGCAGGTAATCGAGCTGCTTCCTCAGTTCGTCTAGTTCGGGTTGGGTCAGTCGGAACTGTCGCTGTACTGTTGGCTGTGCCCCCGGTTCCAGTTCTATCCTGTGATCGTGCGGTCGCTGAGGTGGCAGTCCCGTCGGCAGGTCATCCGGGAAAATGTCACTGTACTGTTTTAACAGTGCCGCCAGGTCACTCGGTACGTCGGTCAGCAGTTTCTGTAAATCGCCCCCCTTGTCTGCTGCCTCGGCTTCCCGAATGTCAACCGCGTACACGTCAGCTCCGGCCGCTACAGCGCGTTTCATCGTGATCGCATTGACACGCACCGACGAAGACTCAGGCGAGCCCCAGCGAGGTAGGGCGATGCTGTTACCGTTTACTCGCACGGTGCAGTCATGACAAGAAGTGAACGAGAGAATGAGTGAACTATGAATAGGAAACCCTAACTGGGTTGTACCCCCTATGGGATACCCCACTATAGCCTACATAAATTAGTAAGCAATAATGTTCTGACACACCCCCATAGGCAAAGTGGGGGAGAACAAGGGGTCACAAGACCAGTCAAGTAAAGCAAAGCAAAGCTCAGGGTGGATCACAAAGTCACCACACATTCCGAGCACAAGTTCAAAAGGCCAGAAGGCCAGTTCACATGCAAGATCATATATAAAGATATACAAGAGTCAAGCAAGTAAGAGCAAGAGTATATATATGTGAAGGTACAAGCAAGGTCAAGAAGTGAGCAAGTGAGGCAAGACAGACACAAGACCCAACTGCGTGCAACAACGCTGATGATCACAAGGCGCAAGTGCCTTAGTGAAGACATCAGCAGTGTTGGCCTCAGAGGCCACGTACGCAAGTCGCAACTGTCCACGCTGCTGCAGCTCACGAGCAAGAAAGTAGCGGAGGGCAATGTGCTTCGTTCTGTGCTCCAGTCGCTGCTCTCGACACAAGGCCAGCATGGCCTTGTTGTCTACGTACAGGACTGGAGGAGAACGAGGCTGCTCTCCAAGGTCGGTCAGCAGGTAGGTGAGCCAGCGTAACTCCTGTGCAGCCATAGCCCCAGCGTAGATCTCAGCCTCACAACTGGAGCCGAGAACAGAAGACGAGCGAGTAGCCCGCCACGAAACAGAGCCGGAACCAAGGCTGAAGGTGTAACCCTGTGACGACCGCTGCGTAGCCTGGTCGTCAGCCCAGGAAGCGTCTGCGTGCCCAGTGAGGACCACTGGACTGCGCCCTCCAAGCACTAGCCCCATGCCCGACGTACTGCACAAGTAACGCAACACCCTCTTCGCTGCAGCCATGTGCTCTGGTCGGTGTCTCCCAGGAGCAACATAGCGTGCTAGAATGCTAAGAGGGTATGCAAGGTCAGGACGTGTGCAGATCATCAGGTACATGAGGCAGCCAACAAGCTTTGCAAACGGGCCACTCGACTCTACGGACTCATCCGAAGGCAGAGCTGAGAGCGAGTGGCGAGTAGGCAGAGGAGTGGCCTGAGGCGAGGAGTACGTGAAGCCGAAGCGCTGAAGGACCTGCTGCACCATGTGTGACTGAGTCAGGGTAATGG